GAGTGTCGACACCAAACGGAAGAGCTGAGCCAAATCTCCAACACAGACATGGTGTCGACACCTATATCACCGAACGGAAGGGCTTTTTGACTATCCCTTTGCTTTCAAACTGAGATGTTTACGGGTTTGGGGTACCCCTTGTACTCCGTTTCAATAAATAATACTTTTGCTTTAAAAAAAAAAATTATCAAACACATATATATTTAAAAGTATTATATAACTAAAAAAAACTCCCAATCGTAATTCAAAACGGACCCTTAAACCCCAAATTAAGGCATTTCATTATTTTTATTCTTATTGTAAATACTCTTAGACGACGACACAGATGATAGACGGAAGGAGTAGCTTCATTTCACATTCTCAACGTGGACAAGTTATCGTTGGCATCTGCCGCATCCGGAATATATCCAGACAAGATAGATGGATTACTTTAATTTAAAAAGTAGAAAAGTGATGAAATGTAGTTTCTTCTACGTGAATTGTATTTTATTTAAGTATTGGTAAAAGTGTAATTCTTTTAATATTAAGTTTCATTAATTTATTAATTATTATTATTATCTATTTTTCGTAGATTTATTTTTATTTTTTGTTTTCTCTAAATATAAATTTTAAATAAAAATTTAACACTTTATATAAACAATAATTAAAAAACTTTTTCATCTATATGAATTTTTTGTTGAGTACTTTAATTTTATTAAAAAAATTTTAATTATTATTTATATAATATATTAATTTTTAGGACAATAATTGGCAAATATTTCGGTTCAACACACTGCATGATACACATATTAAAAAATCACTATTTTTTGTCTGAAATTAAAAACAAACAAGTTTAATTATACAATCATACACGCATGATACAAGAACCGGTTAAATTGATTGTATTTATATTATATTTTTAATTTTAATTTTTAAATATAAAATAAAATAAAATATTATAAAATAATAAAATATTAATTAAATTGACTAATACCAATTTGATCCTAAGAAATGGTGTCCGGCTCGCATCCCCAGAGCACTGAGTAGACTATTAATTAAATATATGTGTGTGCTTAGGGCATGTACAACGACATGCTACCTTTTCAAAAATGAAACAAAGCTCTCGTTTTTATCCACCGGAGCAAATTAAAAAAGAGAGACCCGAGCTATTTGCACTCAGGACTGCTCTCTTAATTAAATAAAAAAAGACTGTTTTTATTTTATTTTTTT